GTGCTTCAGTTAGATCCAAAGTCAATGATCCCAATGCTGATAATATATCCCGTGCCTCTGCCAGATCCAAGACTAAAGAGAGATCCAATACTGAAGATAATATATCCCGTATATCTACCATATCCAAAGCAAAGGAAAACAATGAGGATAACAAATCGCGTGCTTCGGTGAAGTCCAAGTCTAAAGAGGACGGTGCGGATAATGTGTCCCGTGGCGGCGATAATATATCCGTAAAGTCCAAAGGGAAAGATGAGACCGAAAATCCAATACACTTTGACGGAAGCAGAGCCTCGATAAGACAGGTGGCCGACTACGTGAAGAAAGAGCTGCAAATGTCGATGACAACTTCAAAGGAGCTGGGCGAGAAGGCGGCGCTGCTCAGCGATCGCCTCAGAGCCGGCAATGAGTTCAAGCACAATCGCTTTCACTCCCTGGTGCGCATGTACACTCTGAATGAGCCACTCAAGCGTTTCCGTGATGATCGCATGTCCCTCTGGTTCAAGGATGCAGTTCTTTCCTAAGTCCAGCCAGCATACAACTATAGCGTTTTTCCATTCCCCATTTCTGCCCCAACCATAAACCTCTGAGTTTAAGCAAGCAAAAAACGAAAAAAAAAAAAAAAATTATATATATATATATATTGATATTGAAGACTGAAACAAATATCCAAAAACAACACGAAAAATTTTGCGATTCGCGGTTGAGCATTTTGCTGACATTTCGTATCATTCATTTAAATGCGCAAAATTCTGCGGTCGGCTGCGAATCGTGCAGTTTGCACACTGCGCTGGACCATAAAATATGCGAAAACATTTGTTTAATTTGCGCACGAAAAACCGTTGAAAAAAAATTCAATCTTTTTGTTAAGCTTGCAAAGCAACTCTATAATGAATATAGCTACATGAGTTCGTGCCTTCTTTCTATCAATATTTCGAATAACTCTGACAAAATTAAATCTGCTGTCGCTAGTAAGATTTAATCGATGAAAAGCCATGTTTAGGAAAACCTAAGAAAATAAATATTACCAGCAAAATTCAAGCTAAATTTTTGTATTATAATCGAATTATTTCTTTATGATGATGAATCTGACACAAAAATTTGCCCGCGAGTGTATTGCATCTCTGTTAACGAAGCTTAACTGTAGTTTGGCCATGTTGTTTGTAACATTGTGGCTAATTTTATTTATGGCAGTGCAACATGCTAATTACAGCAACAGCAGCAACAACAACAACAACAATTGTTGGCTGGCTAATCAGGGTAAAATTTGTTGGACGGGCTGCCTTAGTGAATGGCGCGCGCTGGGCTTGTGGCAATTAAAACAAATTGCATGTCAATTCAGATGAAATGTTCAGCTCTTTAGCTGCTCTTAAGTATGTCAGAGAAGTTGCATAATACAGGTAAATATATCTCTATATAACTCTCTCTATATAAATATAGATATTTAATATATTTATATGCAAATGCAAATGCTTGCTAGAGCAATAAAGGAAACAACTGCAATAATGGCAACGGGAGCATAAAGCACCAGAAATAATAGCAACAAACAACTTTGCAAAAGTGCAAAAACCAACAACAACAACAACAACAATAGCGACAGCAACAACAATCGAAATGAAACAATCGCAGCGAGCGCGGCATGCGAAACAAAACAGAGAAAAATATATTTAATACGAAAAGTTTTGCAATAACGGAAATGAAATGGAAATGGACGCGCGCCAATAGACATAAATGTGTGCGAGGTGCCACAGCCGACAGGATACAAATAGGACACGGCAGCAACAGCAGCAGCAACAGCAGCCAAGCATCATCAACAATAACAACAGCAACACGGATAATAACAACGAAAGCAATCTGAATGCAGGCCGTGCAGAAAAACAAAAGAACCACAAAGTGCAAACAAAAACGCCAAATGCAAACTCTAAAGTAAAAACTAACAACAATATCCGGGAAAAGCAATTGCACAAAGCTCAGTCAGCCCAGCCTTGCCTGGCCAGGCCACGGCCCTAAAATATTAAAAATCCAAAATAAGTGAACTCTTTCAAAGAGCTTCACTCCATGCTGTGTACTCCAAAAAATGAGTTCGATTAAATATGAAAAAACTCAATAGAGCTAAAATGATTTAGAAACTTAAAGCTTTGTCGAATGGAATGTGAGCTATACTGATAACTCATATGTAGTAGCAATAAATGAAATTGATACTAAGACTTGAGTGATAACTAAACTCAACTGTTGATAAATTTAGTAATTTGTAATAATATTTAATATAAAATGTAGCAATTCTCTAATTATAGATAATTATTAATTTGCCTATTCAAGTGAACTCTGCTCTTAATGGACACTAATTTGAGATATTATTACTTTAGAAAATGTATCTTAGTCTCGCGAGATTGTTGTGTAAGAGTCAACTGAAGTGCATATCTAATAGGCCAAGCAATCGAAGCAATACGCTAATTAATTGCTGCAGCAGCAGGAGAAGTGGGCGTGTTTCGATTGCAGGTGGGCGGTGGGTGGCGGCTGAACAATTCAAGCTGCTGCATTGCAGGCACACACACTGAGCCAAAAAGGTAGGCAAGTGAATGCAAGTGCACTCTTGTGCGTCTTGTATTTGCTTGATGTCATTCTGTGCGTCGCACGTTGCGTATGCGTAATAAAATTGAATTAATACCCGGCCGAGCAAACATTTTGTGGCACATTTTCGCCTTTGGCTTGTGTATCAGTAAATAATGCACAAAGTTGGTGTGTATGTGTGTGTGTGTGTTTGTGTATGGCTTTATTGACCTTAAATGAAAACATAAATTTGGAGAGAAAACTCGATAAGCAAGCAAGCCGGAGCCCAGAAGTGCCCTGGAGCCTTGCGAAGTTGTCTGCCTATGTGCTTTGGCAATTATTATTAGCTCAATTTGGAGTTTGAGGCCAATTTATTGTTGGCCTGATGTGATTTGCAAATCGCAGGGCCATGCACAATGCACAAATATTGACAGGCGTTTGCTTAGCGGCAAGTGGCGTAATATTATCTTAATTTATGGCTAACAACTTTAT